GCTGAAATGGTCCCCAACGTATGCCTGCTCACTTCTGTCGGAGAACTCCTTCCCTCCCAACCTGAACAGAAGAGTCCTCCCTATCTTGAGCTGCACCACTGTGTCCCTGTAAATTCAACCCACTGGTCTTCATTCAAGCCCAGAGACACATCAGTGAGGGGGGACATATATTTTCTTTGCTATGGCAAAGTTTTCAATGGGCGCAGCTGTCTGTCTGTCTGTCTGTCTCTCTCTCTCTCTCTCTCTCTGTAAGACAAGATTCAGACAGAAAATTTGGCCCATCTTGATTATACTGGCCATGGCTAGAGTGAGAGAATCTCTGGGTTTGGGATGCATGGAGACCCCAAGTCATGCAGTCACCACATCCACACCCACACCTCCAACCGCAGTCTCTAGAATGTTCCTTCCTAGCCTCCCCGCATCTGGGGACAAACTCCTGCTCGTTCCTTTCCTTTGAGCACCACAGTGGTCAGGGTCACTGTTTGCCCAGTGAGTGGGTCACATAGGTTTGCGTAGCTAGCCTGGGGGTCACAGCCAGCGCAGCTTTGTTTCTTGACTTCAGGTAAAATTCAAGCAGAGGGTTTGGCTGTGGTCTGAAATGTTCATTTCCTCTTAGAAGTAATCACCTGTCTTCTCTCTCCATTATCCTCTTAGTTATGTTTGTGATTCGGGTAGAAAAACCTTCTGGCTTTCCACCAGCATCCCTAAGGTCAAGGGCTTGGTTTACTCTTGAGTTCATGCTTGGCTCCACATGTTGAAGTTCTGGAACCATTCTCTGGCCTTCAGACATAGCCATAGATCCATCTACCAATATTGTAAAGACCAGCGACTGAGAGTGCCGTATCAAATAAGGGCCGTGCTTGCATTACTGGGCTAGCCTCCTATGCTGGGGTAGTATCATTTTCTCGGTTTCAGCTTTGCCACTATTATCTCTCTTAAAATACCAAAAGCGTTACTTCATTTCTGCAGTGAGAGTGTGGGTTACTTATTAGCTAGCGTTTTCAGTATCTATCCTATAAGGGGCTTATGCCAAAATGCTGTATACGGATTGCTTTTAAAATAGAGTAGGGAAGGAGCCTCTTTCCACAACGGTTTAATCTTTTTTTTTTTTTTAATTTTTTTTTCAACGTTTTTATTTATTTTTGGGACAGAGAGAGACAGAGCATGAACGGGGGAGGGGCAGAGAGAGAGGGCGACACAGAATCAGAAGCAGGCTCCAGGCTCTGAGCTGTCAGCCCAGAGCCCGACGCGGGGCTCGAACTCCCGGACCGCGAGATCGTGACCTGGCTGAAGTCGGACGCCTAACCGACTGCGCCACCGAGGCGCCCCTCCACAACGGTTTAATCTTTTGCCAGTTTTCTACCATCCCTGGCATTGAGTACCCCTCATGTAAACTAGATCAGGTGCTTCTTTTCATAATTGTGATATCAACAAACAAAGTTGACATTCCATTTTAATTCTCTTCTGTTGGATGTTTCACACAAGCCCTTACCACACTTATTTCCTTTCCTCCTGCAGACAACCATGGAATCTGTGAGGCATAGTAGATGCATTGGTGAAAAATGACAAAGGCACATCTTGACCAGTTCATTTCCTTTTAAATGTTTTTTTAATTAATTTTTTTAAGTTTTTATTTATTTATTTATTTAAAAAAAATTTTTTTTAACATTTTTATTTATTTTTGAGACAGGCAGAGACAGAGCATGAAGGGGGGAGGGGCAGAGAGAGAAGGAGACACAGAATCGGAAGCAGGCTCCAGGCCATCAGCCCAGAGCCCGACGCGGGGCTCGAACTCACGGACCGTGAGATCGTGACCTGAGCCGAAGTCGGACGCTCAACCGACTGCGCCACCCAGGCGCCCCTAAGTTTTTATTT